TTGTGCTGCATAATGTTCCATTGTATGGCTCTGCCACATTTTGTTTCTCCACTCACCACTTGGTGGACATTCAGCATCCTTTTTGAATTTAATATATTAACTGTAATGATAGCTGTGATCTGTTGAATACCTACTATGTGTGGGCACTTGACCCAATTCTAATCCTTACAACAGTCCGGGGAGGCAGGAGTACTTCTCCCATCATGCTGATAAACAAGCTGAGATGTAGAGGTGAAATGGTCCATCCAAGGTCACACTAGTGACAGAGCTGGGATGACAAAAGAGTTGGCTTGGCCCCTCCACATCCTCCCACTGCACCTCGCTGCCCCGCCATCCCGGCCGCACTGCTCTCTCCTTCCAGTTGGCTCTGAGGCCAGAACAAGAAAGAGTCCACTCACCTAGCGATTATTATTCAACAAGCTCTAACTGGCACCACACAGGTGGCAAGCACACATTAGTCACTGAGCGGGTGAGGCCCAGATGCCGCCTCCTGGAGCTGGCTGTCCAGGTGAGGTGAGGTTGTCATTTGAGGAGCCAGATGCTTGTCACCAGGAAGGGTGTGACCAAGTGCCAGGAACTCAGGGCTGCTAAGAGCCCAAGGAAAGTCTTTAGAGGAGATCGCATTTCGAACAGGACCCCCGAGGGCCAGGCAGGTTTCCCTGGCAGAGACGGGGCGACTGGTGGGTGCAGAGGAAGTGGGCCTTCACAGACCCTGAGACCAGGAACCTGGGTCCATGGGGATGAATTCTGTGTCCTTGGAGGTGGAAGGTGAAGAGGGCAGAGGAGAGGAAGAGGCTGGCATCACATTGCTAAGAGCCTTGAATGCAAGGCAGGAATCTAGACTTTTTATGTGGGCAGCAGGGAGCCTTCCTGAAAACAAAAGCAGAAACTTTCTGAGCAAGATTAGGTGAAAGATATCCCTTAGGGCTCTGGTGTCGGTCTCCAGACCCCGGCTCCTGGACCTCTGGAAATTACCCTTCAGCAGTTCAGAGAAGAGCTGGCTTCAGACCCTGTGCATCTCATATTCCCAGCAGCTAGACCATGCCTGACCCGTTCATTGTAGGGGCTCAATAAACATTTGTTGAATGAATGATAATGAATGAATGAATGAATGCCAGCCCCCTCTCCTCCACTGTCCTCCCCCAGCTAAGTGGAATGTAACATCTAATGTATTGCAGATCTCCCATCTCCCTCCGGGCCCCTCAACTTCTCCCTCCTTGCTACCCTCTCCTCTCTGGCCATGGGCAAATAAAGGAACACTCAAGTGTCCCTGCCATGTGCTAAGCAGTAGCAATTACTTTAAATTCTCACCATCGCCCTCAGGATAGAAATGACTAACTGCACTTCACAGGTGAGGAAATTGTGATTCAGAATGGTGCAGGGACTTGCCCCGCAGCTGAGTGGCAAGCTGAGACCCACATGGGGACCTTCTGACTCACCTAGTGTTCCCACTTGTCGGGGGGCAGTGTTGAGTTGGAGGTGGCGTGAGGAAGAAGAGGAGACAAAGGAAGAGATTCCTTGGGGCAGGAGGGTCTCAAGCCCTCATCCCAGAACCAGGTGGGTGGATCCCAGTCTCAGGGCTTTTGTTCCACCTGTGGGTCCAGCGGCCACACCAGGATGCTGCAATCAGATTCCTCCACCTTCACTTGGGCGATCACTGCCCCAAGCTGGGGCACCGGGTAGGAATACACACCCATGCCCACACATGCCCACACACCCGCGTACATGCGCGCGTACACACAATCACACACACACACACACAGCCCCAAAGCCTGGAGAAGCGGAGCAATAGTTGCCTTAGGCAGAGATGCTTTAGTTATCTCAAAATCATCCCCCTGAGGAAATTTTTGTTTAACACTCTAAGTTTAAGTAATCATGAAAACATGCCCAAAAGGCTTCCTTGGAAATCCTTCGGTCAAGCAGGCCAGCTGGTTCCCAAGGCTCCTTGGGTGGCCTGACGCCATCAC